TGGGTTGCCCCCCCAAGCCACACACCCCCCCCCACCCACCCTCCCAGACTCCCCCACCCCACATACTAGCCGGCCGAGTCATTGAGCTGGTACTCAGAGGCACGGTCGAAGCAGGCTTGGATGCCTGCGTCCTTCCAGAGTCTCCCAATGATGTCTGACATCTCCTTGGGCATGGTGCCCTCCTCGATGGTGTCCGAAAGATGTAGCAGCTTGCGGGCATCATCCTACAAGGCAGAGGGTCTCAGCAAGGCTGGGGGGGCTGGAGGGACCCCCCAAGCCCAACGTGGGGTGCCCCTCACCTGGCGAGCCGTGTCCCCGTACTGGATGTTGAGGGTGCCCATGGCCCTCACGATGGCCAGCATGGACTGGAGCGTGTTGCTGTAGATGATGGCGATGAACTCCAGGCATTCCTCCAGCGAGTAACCATCCTGGTGGATAATCCTGGCCAGGACAGGGACATGGGGCTGAGCTGGGTGATGGGAACTGCGGGGGGGGGGCACCCATGGGTGCAGCATGGGGCTGAGGTGGGGACAGTGGCATGGGGGCATCCATGGGTGCAGCATGGGGCTGAGCTGGGTACATGCCATAGCTGTGGCATGGGGCAGAGCCAGGCACGGTGGGACAGGGCATGTGGCATGGTGGGGCATGGCCAAGGGTCACCCCCTCGGCACTTACTTCATCTGCTTGACGATGGTGCTCTTCCCTGACTCTCCTGCTCCTGTGGGGACAAAGCACGGGTCACAGGGGTGCCTACACCATGGGCACCCTCAGCTTCACCCCACACTGGCCCCCTGGGACCCCTGGTGCCTGGCATGGCCAGGGGACACTGGTGGCCGTGCCAAGGCAGGGGGATTACAGCCTTTTTCCAGCGGGCATTAAGGTTGGGCTGAGCTGCTGTGGCTAATGGGATCTGCTGCGGCTCAGCCAGGGACGTGCTTGGGGACCCAGGGGAGGGGTAGGGGACACAGTGGCATTGCAACCCCACCACCCACCACCTGATGCCCCAAGCCTGTGGCAGTACAGGAGGACATGTCCTGGGCTGGGATGGGAAGACAGCAATAGAACCCACGGTGCCACCATGTCTAGAGCATCCTAGTCTTTGGGCACCACTGTGGCAGCTGGGAGGGACTGGGATGGATCTGTAGTGCTGGCGAGGGGGCGCAGGGACAGACCCAAGGGCTGGGCAGAGGGGTGGTAGTGTGGGCTACATGGGGGTTCCTGGGAGGAGGGAGGAGGAAGGAGGTGATGCTGGCGGTGGGGTGTTCATAGGTAGTGTTGGTGAAGGTTCGGGGCAGCGGGAAGGAGGTGGGATGTGGGCTGGGCCCCAGGGGAAGGGGGGGGAGGTCAGGGCTGGGGAGGGGGCGCTGGGGCTCAGAAGAGCCCACAATCCTTGAGGTTCTCCTTGATGATGATGTCGGTGACGGCATCGAAGACAAACTTGACGTTTTCGGTATCGGTGGCGCAGGTCATGTGGGAGTAGATCTCCTTCACGTCTCGCCGCATATTCAGCTCCAGGAACTGCAGCTTGATGTAGTTGCCCGCATCGTCATAGGTGTTGGGACCTGGTAGTGAGCAGGGTCCCCTCCTGGGCTGGTGTCCCCCCACCACGGGTGCTGGCCCAGCGTTACCCAGGGCTCCCCCGGGTGGGCAAACCTTGCTTGGTCCATGAGCAAGGCTCGTGCAGCATCTCTTGCATGGGATGCTGAGGACACCTGGTGGGTGGCTGCTGCAGGGTGCTGGCACCCAACCCTTCACCACCACCCCTTCACCACCCGCCTGCACCCGATGGGGAAGCCGCTGCCACCCTCACCGTCGTAGTCGGGGAAACAGATGCTGAGGTGGGCCTTCTTGATCTTCTCCAAGAAGACGTCCTTCTTGTTGAGGAAGAGGACAATGGAGGTGGTGGCAAAGTAGCGGTGGTTGCAGATGCTATTGAAGAGGTGCAAGCTCTCGTGCATGCGGTTCTGTAGTGGGACACAAAGCCCATCAGCCCCATGTTGACCCCCACACTGTGACAGGAACAAAGCAGAGGGGGTATGGGGTGGTGCGCCTTCCTCACCACTTCGTCATCCTCCACCAGGACCATGTCATAGGCGCTGAGGGCCGCGATGAAGATGATGCAAGTCACCCCCTCGAAGCAGTGGATCCACTTCTTCCTCTCTGAGCGCTGGCCACCCACGTCAAACATCCTGGGCAGGACAAGGAGGGGTCAGCAACCCCTCCCAACCCCCTGCCCACCCCCTGAGTGCCAGCCCTCACCAGGGGCTTGGCCCCCACCTGAAGTTGAGGTCTTTAAAGGAGAACTGGGTCTCGATGATACCAGTGGTCTTGACACGGGAGCGCAGCACGTCCTGCTCCGTGGGGACGTAGCCGGGGGTCACCAGGCGCTCCAGGTCAGACAAGTAGCTAGCCAGGCACGTGGTGGGCATGAGACATGGGTTGGCACCCCAAGACACACACACCCCCCCCCCCCCCCCCCCCCCCCCCCCCCCCCCCCCCACCAACCCCCCCCCGCCCTT